GATACAACGGTCTTGATCAGCGTAACGTTGTACAAACAAACCAAACGTACGGCCATGATGTTGGCGTACATGAAAATACTAAGGAAGGTGACAGCACGTTATGGATTCCTCGATTCCCTTGAAAGCAGTGGACCGTGGACGTATGCTAGCTAAGATGTCATCCTTTTTCCTTAATTCCTTGGACGCACGGCATACTTGCCAAGTTGCTATTGGGCCTTGGCTGGCACGGCTGCTGCTCCACCTTTATTAGTATTTTCATATTTTTAATTTATTAAAAAAAAAGGCAGTTTTGTCGTTTTCCCCATCTTTAATTCCTAATTTATTTTTATGTTGTATTTATATACGTACTGTGTGGATTATTAGAATTAGAAGTTAGTGAGGAATCAAAAATGAAAAATCCTCTTACAGAATTCCGATTGGACGGCCCAGATGATCTCATGGAATTGGTGGGGTCCTACGCACATGCATGCACCCGAGAGTCTGAGACTGAGAACGACGACGTCGTCAGTCGTCACTCGTTACGGTCATGAATGTAAAATTAAGCAATCGGGTGCTACTACTTGCTACACTAATGGGGTAGCCCGTCCCCCTAGCCACCCACCATAACACACCCCATCCCCAATTGGCAACTCCCAAGTCCCAACCCCTGGTGACAGTGGATTTTATCTCAAGTATCTCCGCTACAACCAGCTGGAGACCTTATAAAGTGAGTGGGTCGGCAGTTCGGCACGGCACCGTCTAAAAAGAATAGTTGATCAAATCAAACAAGCATCTAAAGGGAAGAGGAGAGTGGAGAGAGTATATATATATATATAATACACAGTCACAGACGCACAGCGTCCACCACCAAAAACTCACAAGCAGAGGCCCCCACCACCATCTGCACTCAAGATATGGACAAGAGTAAGCTGCTGCGGTGATGACGCAAGGCAACCCCTCAATCATGAAAGTTTTTTTGGGAGGTCCCCAGTCCCCAAGAAACACCCCCTCCCCATCCTCTCTTGGTGCTGCAATTGGTGGTTCCGTCGTGGTGACGGTGGTGGGGCTGGGGACCACCACCACCCTCACCCTCATGAAGACTTGGTAAAAAATGCGAGTTGGGTTTGATTGGTCTTTGACATCTTCTGATTTCATGCATATATATATATATATATACACATACATACTGCAGCCATGCCTTTGTATGTGCGTCGCGCAGCTCCTCAGCCAAACCAGCAAAGGAGGACGTGGAGGGGGGTTCAATCAGTCGCTTTGCTCCACAACTACTTCGTGGTGCGGGTGGAAGTGGGCCGTTCTCTTCCGACCATCCCTCCGACATAATGTGATAAAACTGGACGATCATTTAATTTATGGGTCATCGGAATGGGCTGGCTGGCTGGCTGGCTTAGCTATTAGCTTTGTCATCATAATCTGCCACCATACGCCCGCCCGTACACTCCCATACCTATAACACACTATTTCATTTCACACGAGCCTTCTCAGCCTCACACCCTTTATCTTGGTGGACTTATATATACATCAACTTTCCTACACTACTTGTAACTCCAGGTTTTTCTATTTCTTTTTTCATTTGACCGTTCGTTTTCAAGCCCAACCAACATAGTAGAAGAAAAAAAGGGTGTCTGAGGGTCCGGTCGTTTCGCTGCTCATCTGATCATGGTTGACTGAGCCTCAAGCTTCCTTTCCCTTTATTTATTTTTTTTTAATTTTCTCTTTTGTAGTCTTTCACCAGCGAAAGCGTACATAAGCAATGAACCAATTAAGCATTGATAAATCCAGTCTGGGACTCTGGGTCTCTTCTCTTGTTAGCTAATTAAATATATTGCTAGCTTCAGTCGTCAGTACTAGTACCTGATGTGTCGGCTTCTTCTTCTTCTTCTTCCTCTTCTTCCTCCTCCTCCCCCTCTTCTTTTCTCATTTTCAGCAATTTGATGTATTTCACACTTTTGAATGACAAAACATATTTTATGGTAATTTGCGCAGGAGAAAGGAGAGTATTGGTTGAACGGCTACAATTCTTTATTGATGGAATCATCTCTTTTGGACACTAGAGGATCCCCCAAGGTGGGAAATGGACGAATTACTGGTCCCGTCTCCTACTCCTTAGCATGCTTGTGGGCCACACGTGTGCTACCCCGTTTATAGTCCACATGTTTAGGCTAGGCTACATTTGTTTTTGCGGGGAATGGGGGACCATTGCAGCATATACATCATCCCCCTCCAAAGGGATTGCTTTTAATTTTCCAACTTGTCATGTAAAATCACTTCACCCCAAACAAAACATCCATAAGCTTATGCTTGCTCTTTCTTTAGACTGCTTTTTTAATCAATTGTGCCTCAGTCTCAGAAAAAAACTTTACTTTCTCTTTCTTTTTCAACAACTGTATGGGCTTGGGTTAATTCAATTTCTTTTTGGATGATAATTCTACTTGGGGTAATTCTATGGAGGAGGATGGGTAGACCTACTATGTAATTCTTCAAATCATGTTTGATCACTTCTATTCTATATGGACCCAACCTGGTTATAAATTATAAATAAGTGGGTATTGAGTGTCTACTCCTGTGGGCTTGACAGTTAAAATTGTTGGAACTATAAACATCATCACCGGTGATGAGGAAAGAGCCTGGGTCTATGTTTATTTTCAGACAAACCAGCCTCCCTTCGAGTTCCTTCTGTGTCCCTTTTGTTCGGATTCGGGGCTCCAATAGTTTTTATCAATTAATGTCATTTAGAGATAGATGGACATGAAGTCTCTTTGAAATTAATTTGAGGAAAGGAACCTTCTAGTGTCTTAACGGTGGCAAAATTATGGGTTGAGTTGCCAAATGTAAAGGACAAAGGGATCGAAGAGGGGGAAAGACCATTTGTTTCCATCTGGAGCAGACTTGTTTTTGGTGCCACCAACCCCTTCTCTCACTCTTACTCCCGAGGGAGGGAGGATGATAATATAAGGTTTCGTTTTACTGTCTCCCCATTAATTGCATTAAAATCTAGAACCCACAACTTTGAGCAAAATTAGACTGATCATAGCTCCCAAATTGAATCAAATATGGGAGGACCCTGACAATCCATTCAACAATAAATAAAATTGAGAGAGAGAGAGAGAGAGATAAGGGAAAAAATAGAAGAAATTGGGACAACTAGCCAGTAACAACTGCTCTTCCTTTCTTTTGAGGTGCTAAGAGTGTAGAGGAATTAGTCCACCAATAGAAGGCCCATTTGGGACATGCTTGTAGTATATCTATCATGAAGCGCAGTTGTGTCTCCCTAAAAAGAAATTGAGGAATAAGTTGACAAAGTCATGATATACTTGGAGGACCATCGTCATCATCCATGATGGGCCCTACAACCATCATTTTACATTTTTACTCCCAGGCCCCAGCCCACCAACCCAATCAATCTGAGTCATCCATTTACCAAAAGGGCATTTCTAGTCTCTCCATACAAGGACTTCCAAGGCTCTCACCATTTAATCATCAGGAATCCAGGATGAAAAACATGGTGGCCCCACACCCATTGAACAGTTAAGACTGTTGTAGCGATAACTCATAGTTTAGGATGGTCCATGCAGCAGCTGTAACACTATGGCGGGACCACATTATTATTATTATTATTATTTCCCAACTGTAAAAACATCCCAAAACGTAAGCTGTTGTAAAACTTAGTGGTTGAGCGGCAGTTTTTTAACCCCGCCTGTTATGGGAGCCTGAACCCTTCTGCTTCTTCTGCTCTACTGTAGACTGTAGTCTGTACTCATCGTACATGAGTTATGATGCGCCGTGGAGAGGGTGGGGTGTGTAATACGCACCCATTCATATAAGCCAAAACGTAGTACACGCTAAAATATTAGGTTAGTATTATGTTACGTAAGTAATAAGGCAATCTACCCATAAAAAAAAATGTAATAAGGTAATCACTCTTGATTTATATTGTAATGTACGCTCCATGCGTATTGAATCTATTCATCACACCCCAAGCAAAAAAAAAGAAGGAAATAAATAAAATTAGAAAAGCCAACATAAGTGTCGTCAGCATTACCAAATTACCAATACGATAAGGGAATGGGGGGATTTGTATAGCGTTAACAGGGAAAGGTAGGAGAAAGGCAATGGGCGAGAGAGCATGATAGGTCCAATTGCTTAAAAAAAAAGAGGAGGAGAAAAACAAAAGAAGAGAGGAAGAGAGAGAAGATGCGGTCCCGTCTCAACTCTTCCTTCAATCAAATACACGAGAAGGGGAGATAGGAGTTCTTTAATGGGCGTTTTAATTGGAATTAGTTGGAAATGTTGGACCACCTCATCTCAACTCCTTTCCAGTCCCCAGTTTTAGAACATTTTTCACAACCCCGCATCTATTCTCTCTCTCTCTCTCTCTCTCCCCAAAACCTTTTCTGAAAAGTCTCTCCGTGTTATTAAGGAAATCAGTGATATGATCAGAAATTCTGATGCACCAGAGCAAACAGAACAGATTTCAGACACCCATCTGAAAAGCCAGTGAACTTAGGAGTCATTGGGAATCGGGTTATCAATCAGAAATCCGTATGGGTTATTCTATTACTCTTTCTTTCTTCCTTGTTTATTGTCCTTTTCTTGCTGTTTTTTTTTTGGTTTGTTAAATAAAACTATTGGGTTGATGGGGTTTTAAAGAGATCCGAAGATATGAAGCTGTTCTGAGTGGGTTGGAGCTCTTGTTAAAGTGAAAGCGTAGCCGCATAGGTCATGTGGCGGCTTGTAGTTTGTGAAGCAGCAGGAAAAGGACGATTATCTTTTCTGCAATTGCTGTTTCTTTGACACTACCTACTTGGAAAAGCAGGGGAATGGTTGTTTTTTCATTATTTAAAATATAAATTGTATTCTCCTTTCTTATGTTATATTATTATTGTACTCAGTATTAATAATTTGTTGGGTATGGACTAGGGACCGTATGCCATGAAATAATTGAGAGAGAGAGAGAGAGAGAGAGAGGAAAGACTTAAGAATGGATAGATTTCTGGGAATGCCTATTTTGATGTTATTTATCTCACGAAGCATTGACCCACACCAAATTGTGCAGTAGGGAGATGGAAAAAAGAGGGGGGAATCAAATCACTGCTTGGTGGTTATCATCGCCTATTTCTCCTTCTACTACTGTTTCTGAGTAGATATCTGATCTTACTTCCCTTCCGAGGTTGGTTTTCATTGCACACTATGTTGAGTTATTAGGAGAAGTCAGAGAAGAAAAGGCGCAGTACGCGCTCTCCCCGGCTCCCTCCCTCCACGCCTTTCCACTATATCACAACCCTTCACCACCACCACCAACAACATCTCACACACCTCCATCGCCGGTTGGTTACATGATTCCTTCTCGTTCAACTCTCAAACACATGCACACACACGCATACGAGAAAAAAAATGAAAATTTGTTTTTTTTTTTAGTTTTCTGAGCCCAAAGCGGAGTTGGGTTGCTTGGTTGTTTTCGTTGATCTCGTTTATTTATTTATTTTTTAATTCTTCTATAGTGTTTTTAATTTTAATGGTGGGTTTTCTACTTTTCTTTTAGGGTTTTTGAGAATTCGGTTTGGGAATGGACAATAAGCGGGCGATGGTATTTCAGTTGCAGAATCGTGGACATCGTTTTAACCAACGGCAGATGTAGAGGACGGCAGTAACAACAAGAAAGATTTCTTGTATGGCTCGTGAATCTCCACAAGATAAACCCAAGAACTTGGTGTCTCCGACTGGTTTTTGCTACTTGGGTACCTCGTCTAACAGCAGCCCTACCATTCAAAGCCATCTCGTGAACCAGATGCAAAGCTTCGAATCAAGTCCAGAGCTTTTCAACCTAACTTCAGGTATAGAGATGTTAGGATTTCCTTCCAAAAACCTACAGCAGAGAGACAGTAACTCGGTTATGTGGAAAGGGTTCTTCAGCAAACAAGGAAACCAGGCATCTTCCTCTTCAAAGACGATGACCGGCCATACAAGCGATTTTTACCAACCCGAATTCAACAAACCTGCCGACTTCCCAACCGGGTTCTCTGAAACAACGGGTGAGAACCTGATGGTTACACCTGAACCGGGTTGGAACGACAATAGACTACTAGTAGATGATTCCTGCCTGAGGTGCGTTTTTCCATGTGAAGGAAACGAGAGGCCGAGTCAAGGACTTTCACTCTCTCTTTCTTCGAGTAAACCTTCTAGCATAGGACTACAGTCGTTCGAACTGAGAGACACGAATCATCATCATCATCATCAACAACATCAAGATGATATGAGGTTTATTTCATCCAACTCCAGAGATGGGCTGTTTGGAAAATCAATAAATCATCAACAACAGCAGCAAATCCTGCAAGATGGTTTTTTCGGAAAAGCTGCAAATGTTCACCAGGTCCACTTTCAGCTAAAGAACTCAAAGTACTTAGCACCTGCTCAGGAGCTTCTGAACGAGGTCTGCAACCTTGGAACAAAGCAAACTGATCAACCCAAACAGAAGCCCCATAAGGCCAACCAGTGGGAGGAGGAGAATGGTGGTGATTCTTCAAAAAAGCAACCTCTGTACACCCTAGACCTACTTGAATTGCAGAAACGAAAAGCCAAATTGCTTTCCATGCTCGAGGAGGTATATTGATTTGCGTTTCCTTCTTTATAGTTTTACTGCAACTAATCTTCTTCCGTTCCCAACTTTTTGGTTTTTATTCCTCCAAATACATAAAGACTTTTTTTTTTTTCAACCTGAAATAATAGTGGAAACGTAGCTCTACTTTTACTGGGTGGTTTGATTGATTGGGTATGGAAAATTAAATCTGGAACTAATTGATTTGAGGGCCTTCCTCCATTAATGCCCCGCATCATGACAATTTCGGCATTTCATTCCTTCATTAAATTAATTTCAGAATCATCTCTATTCCTTTTCTTTATTACATGGCATCACACAGTCGTCTTTCATATCTTCCATACTGTAATTGGTGATTTTTTTTTATCACTTTTTATTTCCGTTTCTCCTTTCCCCTTGGTGAGATCAGCAGGAGAATAGAGTGAAAGAAAGACTCACCGACATTCTGTCTTTGTATTTTTCTTTTAATTTTGTTGTTTAGGTGGATAGGAGATACAGGCAATATTGTGAAGAGATGAAGGGCGTCGTATCATCATTTGAAGCAGTGGCTGGGACGGGAGGCGCAAAAGTGTACTCGGCGTTAGCGTCAAAGGCCATGTCGAAGCATTTTAGGTGTTTGAGAGATGGAATTGTTGGTCAGATAAAGGCGACGAAGAAGGCGATGGGAGAGAAGGATCTAGTTGCACCGGGTACGACAAAGGGAGAGACGCCAAGGCTCAGGCTTATTGACCAAGCCCTGAGACAACAAAGGGCTTTTCAGCAAATGAGCATGATGGAGAGTCATCCCTGGAGACCACAGAGAGGCCTCCCTGAACGTTCTGTTTCTGTACTTCGAGCCTGGCTCTTCGAACATTTCCTTCACCCGTAATTTCCTCTCTTGACTCTTGCTCTATAGATCTCTTATTATATCAAATTAATTAGTACTTGAATTTTCTCCATTCCATCCATGTATATATGTATAGTAGTGTTTTCACCAGTTTCAACTTATTGAAAACAAACAAACAAACATGTTGTTGCTTGTTTCTGTCCATGTCCATCATTATTCAAATGCCAATTGAGATGCCTTCTTCCATATATATTTTCTATGATTTTGTTGTGCTTCTTTATAATGCATGAGGACCCATATGTGATTTAACACCCCAACCTCTACTTTTATTTATATATGTATGTGGCCTTACTTAAGTTACATTGCCAATAACAACTACTAAATTCTATAATTCTCTACTTAATTAGTACTTAACTTTCGCAGGTATCCAAGCGATGTAGATAAACACATTTTAGCCCGCCAAACAGGCCTTTCAAGAAGCCAGGCACGTTTCCATATCTCTCACAACCATTGTGTACATATATTGATATTACGAACAACGATTAAAAGATAATAATAATAATTGTTTGTTGCCGCATGCGCGCAGGTGTCCAATTGGTTCATAAACGCAAGGGTTAGACTATGGAAACCCATGGTGGAAGAGATGTACTTGGAAGAAACAAAGGATCTTGACAACATGACTTCCTCAGAAGGTGGTACAAGTCACGGGGACAACGCCGGCCGCCGGCCAAACCAAAACCATAATTCCAATCAAACTCCTCAGCCCAACTCCGAGGATCAGAAACCAACAACAGACCAACTTGTCCGCGCCGAATCTGAGTCTCTCTCTTCTATCATCAGCAACCCTGAAAAAAATGGTAGCAGCAGCAGCAGCAAAATTAATGGTAGAAACGATCAAGGAGACCACTGTCATCATCAGCAGAATCAACAACAACAATTGGGTAGCAGCAGAGTACCCGAGCTGTTTGGTGCCGTGGATTTGGATTTCTCAGCTTACAACCAGCATACAGCTGCTAGCACCATATCTTTTGCAAATAATGGCGGTGTCCATCATCAGAATATCGGCGGTGGTGTGTCTCTAACACTGGGACTGCAACAGCACGGTGGGAGCGGTGTGAGTCTTTCCTTCTCCCCAGCATCACAGCACTCTCTTTTCTTCCCAAGAGATCACATTAATGAAGACTGCCAATCAATTCATCAGTACTCCATGTTAGATGGGGAAGGACAAAATAATCTACCGTATAGGAACTTGATGGGAGCGCAGTTGCTCCATGACTTGGCTGGGTAGACAAAATCAGCAGAAAAATTAAAGCTCGACCCAACATTTGTTCCGTCTCCGCCGAGACGGCCAGCTGGAGTTAATTGCATGTCAAAGAATGATGGTAATTAATAGATGATCATACGTACATACTCCCATACATAAACATAAATCAACATATACTATGATCCAACGTACTTACTTTGCAGCTATATAGCTAGCTGGAATGGTAAATTTGTGTCGTTATCGTGGAATTAATATATAGTCTACTATATAGCTTGTTTAGTTCATTCAACATCTGATTGTCTGGACTTGTATTGCCATTGATCCATTGATGCAAGGATATACATATACTTTTTGAGTTTTTTCCCTTCATCTCTCTCTCTCTCTCCACCTCCACCACCAATTTGACTGACTGAATCACTTGTGGTTCTAGTTTAATGTAGTTATTTTTTTTCTTCCCCCTTATCTGTATATTTTTTTTTTCTTTTAATTGGATAAGTCATAGAGTCGGAGTTAAGGTGACGACAACAGAACCTGATGACCCAAAAGATGAAGTTATGAACAACAGCAGGCATTAGCATCGTCAGGATTAACATAATTTAATGCTAGCTAGGTAATCTTGGACTGGGAGAAAGAACCGAGCTTGATCCACAGGATTAATAAAAGCAGCTAATTAGTCGGCAGCTTGATTAATCTTTTTGAATGCATAGGTAGAACAAAACTTGCAAGATGATCGATGCATGATAATGGACAATAAATATAATGGTGGACAAAATAACAAGCCATCAGGTTGAGTCCTCAGTTTGAACAATTAATGTCGCCTTAAATCTCATATCCTGATCAATCACTTTAAGATTGTGGTCCTTGATTACTACTTGCTACTCTCTCTCTCTCTCTCCTGCAGCTGTATTTTCGCAAGCCTTTGATTCATTAGAATTTGAGGTTAGTTAACATTACAGCCTTTTTCCCATCTGGAGGTGCCTTTAGATTAAATGTGGACAAACTATAGAAAAAATTTTTTATTGCTCAAGCACTATGAAATTAACTTATAAAGGACTAGATTTATTTCTAGCAAAATCTTAGATTTTTCTTTTTTTTTTTATTCCAGAAATTTCAGCTGTGAATTTGACTATTCAAAATCTATTTCACTAATTTTTTGGATTTTCAGTCATAATTATTTTGTTTTAACAGATTAATCAAAGTAAAAAACATTGCCTTTTAACCATATATATATATATATATATATATATTGCTTTTGGATAGTACAGGAGTTCTGATATAGTTGAAGAAGTGTTATGCGTTGATGGAGCAGCTCACTGGACAATGATGATGAAAGGAGTAACTGGGATTTTAACCTACTTTTGATTAGAACTTTTGAATCTATATGATGAACCTAGGAATTTCTTATCAAGTCAAAAGAGTAAAAGAATACTTTTTTCAACATATCTATCATAAGAATGGTCTTATCGTACAAAATTTGCTCGTGCTCTCTTCGTATTTCTACTTAGGGAGAGAGAGAGACGCTGCAGCAGCAACCTAAAAAGGATTGTCAGATGCTTTTGTCACTCCAATTCTTTAAATATAATCAATCCATGGACCCTATTCCCATTTGCTATTTAAAAAACAATCGTAGAGAGATTATACTTTTATCTTATAAATAGTATCTCTCTCATTTGTAATACAAAAAATGAACTTACCAATAGGAGATTGGTAGTTGACTGTGTAGAGAATTCGGTACTGTATGTATGGACAAATATGATTCATATGTAAAAGCTTAAAAGCAAAAAAAGAAAAAGAAAAAATATCTAATGTGATTGACGACTTTTGGTTTCATTGTTTTAGGGCCGTTACCCCACAATGATCCCAACTGTGTCCCAACTGTGTATGTGTGGAGGGGGGGGGGGGGGCGGTATTGGATACGGACCATAAACCTTTTGACATTTTTGAACAAAAATCTCACACTTGAACCAGTATTTTCATGCTTGACACCATTGCACCAACCAATGATCCCCTGCAAAACTAAAGAAAACTGCCATATGAAAAATTTTAGGTTAAATTTCTGAACCCTCTCTTGAAGTTTGGCAATGGCAATCACCTTTCCTGAACTTTCTGATAGTTGCAAGTACACCCCCTCTGGTAGAATTTTCTAAAAAGAGGCATAAATATGTCTAAAATAGCCATACAGTTGCATTTGACAAAAATGCTTATAAGTTTATTTTCTAAATTTTCTTTTCGTATATATGAATCACTTTCATTACCCCAAACTCTTCCAATCTCTTTTCTGAAATTGATTTATTTTTCAAAAATTTCCATCATATCAATCACTCAAAGCATTGCTGCTTTAAATTCTCTATGTTTTTATTGTTCATAAAGTTTGTATTGTTTTTTTTGTAGAAACCAGCCTCAATAGTAATTGCATGGGTATTTTGGGCATCTATACTATTTTTAGAAGATTCTATCAAAGGAGGTCTACTTGCAATTGTATCAGAAAGTTCAGAGGGCATGATTGCAATTACTAATTAACTCTAGTGGAGGTTTCGGCAATGGTCAGAAACTTCAAAGGAGGTTTCAACAATTTACCCAAATTTTTATGAAGTGGGAATAACAATAAAACATAATTAGAAAATGAAAGGAACACCAAACCGATGTTCAATTATGAACATTATGATCAAATGTTAACAATGGCTTTATCAAGGCACATAAATCACATATATAGTTGATCATGGGCCTCTCATATGCGAATGCTTGGTGTTGTTTATATTGGAATTTCAAAATTGATAATGTAGTTAATTAATTACTTAATTATAAGGGCATGATGAATTGGAATCATTTGCAGCCTTATAGGGGCGGAAGTTTTCGACCCAACCCAGGTTGTTGCAGGTCTATTGGTTAATTTCTTATAACATGCCATTGACTCTTTTTTTGTGATGGCAATGAATAGGATTAGCGTTAGATATTTGATATTTGATGCACACAAGCACTGCTAATCTTTTTAATGGATTGAGTTTCTTAGAGTATCCAAAATATTTTGAGAATGTTCATGTAACTCGGCAATTAGTTGGGAATTTTTAATTCTATAATAATATTTCTCAATGTAAGAACAAGTGAATTCGGTAATGTATGTGATGGTTGTGCTCTCTAACTCCTATTTTCCAAGAGATGCTAATTATTTTCAGACCTTGCTACTTTGGTGTTTACAGCAGCATCTCCTTTGTGGGAGGTCATCCTGTTCAACTTAGCGGAATAGGGCTCTTCTTTAAACTGAAAACCATTAACCTAAAAAAAAAAATTTTGTTTAGGTGGTTTCTTAGGTCATGTTTGATTCAATTCTCATTCTTTCTCATTCTTATCCAAGATGAAATTCTAAAATGGAAAAGAATGGGTAAAAGTACTTTCGTAAAAGTGCTTTCCTAAAAGTGTTTTTATAAAAGTACTTCCGTAAAAGTACTTCCATAAAAGTGTTTTTATAAGTGTTTTCGTAAAAGTGCTTTTGTAAAAGTACTTCCATAAAAGTGCTTTTATAAAAGTACTTTCGTATAAGTGATTTTATAAAAGTGCTTTCAAAAAAGTACTTTCATAAAAGTGTTTTATAAAAGTGCTTTTGTAAAAGTGCTTTTATAAAAATGCTTTTGTAAAAGTACTTCTGCAAAAGTGTTTTTATAAAAGTACTTTCGTAAAAGTGATTTTATAAAAATGCTTTTGTAAAAGTACTTCCGTAAAAGTGCTTTTATAAAAGTACTTTTATAAAATGCTTTCATAAAAATACTTCCATAAAAGTGCTTTCATGTAAAAGTAGTTTTACAATAGTGCTTTCGCAAAAGTACTTTTATAAGTGTTTTCTTAAAAGTATTTTTGTAAAAGTGCTTTCACAAAAGTAAACATCTATGACAATAGTTTTAGGTAGAGTTTCATCAAAGAATGAAATGAGCAAGATGGGGCATGATTATTTTTCATGCTACAAGCTAGTCAAATTTTTGTGCCATGGGATTGATTTTTCATTCTAAAAGGAATGTGGTCTTTGGCAAGAATTTTGTAACCAAACACTAATGTTATTCATTCTTTCCTAGAATGAGCAAGAATTAAGAGAATGAGTCATAGAGCAGTGAACCAAACATGGCCTTAGTTGATCATCATCATCATCTAAGCATTGTCCAAATTATATTGTCTTTTTTGTTCTATTAAGTATCATATTCATGGTAAATTATGGATTCTTAAATCATATATGGTATTTCCACCCAATCCCTTTGGCTTGCCCTTAGCTCTTATAGTCCCTTCAACTTGTAACAAATCACTCTTCTTAACAAATGTTGTGGATGGTCTTCTATACACCTAACTAGGGGTGGCAATGAGCCGAGCTTTTCACAAGCTATTCGAGCTCGGCTCAACTCGGTTTAAACCGAGCTTCGAGCCGAGTTCAAGCCCAATTTATAAGCTCGTTTGCTAATCGAGCTTCTACATACATACAAATATATAATATTTTTATTTTTATATATAATAATAACTAATTATTATAATTATTAATTTTTTAAATATCAAATAAAAATAATTTTTTATATATAATTTTCTTTTTTACTTTTATACAACATTTGACTCACAATCAACTCGAGCTTATGAGCTTTTGACTCAAGCCAATCTCAAATTCAAGTCTCTAGCTTGAATAGAACTTGAGCCTCATACTATCTTGACGAGCCGAACTTGACTAGTTAACTATTTAGCTTGGCTTAGCTCAAATCCACCCCTACACCTGACCAAACCATCTCAATTTACTCTCCCCTATTTTATCACCTATAGAAGCCAACTCTTAAGTTCATTCATCTCCAGCCCAATTCTTTTTAACTTTATCACTCATTCATCTAAACATTTGCATTTCTATCACACTCATTTTTAATAGTTAGGTATATTTTATTTTTTATTTTTTCTGAAAGTCTCTTGTTTTGTTTCATCCTAGTAGGTCTAATTCTAGTCTTTTTTGATGCCTTTGAAATTGGAATCCTAGCTTGCATGTAATAAAATAGAGGGGATCTAGGGTCCATACTACTTTTTTTCATTAATATAATGTAATATGACTTTTTCATTAATTGACGTGATGTACTCCTAGTCCTAGCCTAAAACCTATTTATTTGATCATTTTGATTCATGCTATTGATTATGCAAACCACAGCATTTTCATTGGACAACTGTACTGACACTACTAAACTCGGGCTCTGGCACTTGGGTCTTTTTGATCGTTAGTTGGACTAAAGTTGATCCACATTCAAATCAGGTTTTGGTAGCCAGACCGGCCAAGTCAAACTCAACTCAATCTTGACTAAATTAACCTGAGACTTGGGAGGAATGGACTAACTACTAACCTAACCTTGAATATAGTAGCA